CTGTAATGATGGTGTTAACCGGTTTGATTGTATTTGTCAGCCTGGCTACTCTGGCGTCACATGTGGATCAAGTGAGTATATTACCAACAATAGAATTTATTAAAATGATGCTTCCAGACTGTTTAAAATTATACATAAATTTTTAACTAAAATTGAAAATCTTCTTGCATGCAAACGTGCAAATCTTCAGCCACAAACTTAAAATAACTTCTTAGTTTCTTTTGAAATTTATTTACTTTTATTTATTCATTTTGTAATTTTTTTTCTTTTAATTAATTTGTTTATAAACATTATATGCACAGTATTAGATATTATCATCAGAAATAATATTAATTTTTTAAAATTATGTATGTGTGTATGTAATTAGGTATGTGTATGTCATCTTTACACAATTTCTTTATTTATGTCAGTATAATGTGAGTTTGTGCATTCTCTTAAAAAGACAAATTGATTTCGTAGGTGTGAAATATATACAAAGATAACCCATGGTATTCTGAATAATTATGTCCAGTGGTTTCCTTCTGATGGTAAATTGAGTTGTACACCATGAGATAATCCCCTACTCTTTTCCCAAGAAAGTACTGTGTACTTGTACGTGCACACAGGCCATATTGCACATAGGACCAACAGCTTAAACATTTCATCCGAAAGACTGTGTGCTATTGAAACCTGGAAGGCTGAAATGCAAGAAGTGCCATCAATAGTATTCAACCAGGCACAAAGGTTTTGTAAAGATGTACACGGTTCAGCACACACAGAGTAGCTACAGTGTACCTTCAGTGTAGCCAACTGAACTAAGCTGCACTCTTAGATGAAATATACTAAACTAGCTTCATATTAATGACTGTCAATAATGATTTCTTCCTAGATGTGAATGAATGCTCAAGTAACCCATGTCAGTTTGGTTCCTGTATTGATGGCGTCAACGGCTACTTCTGCCAGTGCTTTTCCGGATACATTGGAACACATTGCGAAAATGGTAACAAACATAACCTTTTGTAGCAGGGATGGCATAAAATTTTGTTAGGGGGCCAAAGTGTATTTTTGAATTAATACTGAGTGCTGCACCTTTGACATTAAAAAAACCTTCATCCACTGCTTTATACCCATTCATACTCTGTTTTAATATTACTTTTTACAGATAACGGTTTTGGGCCATACAAAAAAGGGGTTTTCTAGCCAAAGATGGTTGGCAGGCCACACACATAGGGTTGTTGCAGGCTGCAACAAAATTGCTGTTTGGGTTGCATGTGGCCGCAGACCACACTTTGCCCACCTGTGCTTCAGTGGCCGCGCCAGCGGTGTGGTAGGGGGGGCTACTGCCTGGGCCCGTGGCCAAGTACTGCACCAAGACTAGAACCAAGAATGTAAAATTCGGGTCCAGTGCATTTTAATCATTGCCGATTATCATCTGTATATTACACATGAGGTTAATAGTAATTTCTAACCCTTTCAATTTGTTTGTTTTTTAAGATATCAATGAGTGTAACTCCAACCCATGTAAGAATGGAGCGACATGTGCTGACCATCCCAATAGCTATACTTGCCGGTGTACCTCAGGTTGGCAGGGTATCAACTGTGATGTTGGTGAGCTCAATTGATTGATAATTGATAGGTGATTGATTGATTGTTGATGGATTGTTGATTGATTGATTAATTGATGGTTAATAGGTAATTGATTGATGATTGATAAGTTATTGATTTATGATTGATTGTTGATTGATTAATTGATGATAGGTGATTGATTGATGATTGATATGTGATTGATTGATGATTGATATGTGGTTGATTGATGATTGATATGTTATTGATTGATTGTTGATTGATTGAGTGATTGTTGATTGATTACTTGATAATTGACAGGTTATTAATTGATGATTGATAGGTGATTCATGATTGGTAAGTGATTGATTGATCTGATTGATTGATGATTGATTAATTGATTGATAGCTGATTGATAGCTGATTGATTTGATGATTAATTGATTGCTTGGTGATTGATGATTGATTGATTGATAGGGAATTGATTGATGATTGATTAATAATTAATTAATTAATAGTTGATTGATTGATAGACAATTAGTAAATATCAACAATTATTAACAACTATTTTTTATATCATTGTTTGATTTTTGGTATTATTTATGTGTTTTTTTTGTGCAGAGGTACTTGAATGTGCAAGTTCACCATGTCGCAATGGTGGTACCTGTGTTGATGCGGTCAATGGATATTTTTGTCAATGCACAAGTGGCTGGTTAGGGGTCAACTGTGAAACAAGTAAGCTATGCTTCATTAGAGTGCAGTGGGTACACTTCACTCACATGCTACTATAATCTTAATTCACAATTTCATACTGAAGTACATTCTTTGCTAATGCTGACCTCATGTTTGTTACAGTTACTGGTGACTGTTATTACTTGCAGTACTTGTATAATGTTTTTTATTTCACAGTTAAAAAGTGCTTTTTTATCCCTGGTCATTGAGTCCCCATATTTAATTGTTGTTGCCTTATTGTTGCAATAGTAGGCAACCCCAAAAGAAACCCATTTACATTCTCGAGTGGAGAGATGCAGTGCAGATAATTGCCTTGCTAATGACACCAGCATAATCCGCAGCAAGAAATTAAAACCGCGGCTACTAGATTTGCAAAACCAAACTGGTTCTGCTGCACCATACTGCTGTGTAGATAATTTTATTTTAAACATTGCTTTCTCTTTATGCTATCACATATTTTGATACCTTTTAAAAATAATTGTCTTTTATAGATCAAAATGAGTGTCTATCAAATCCCTGCCAGAATGGCGCCACCTGTACTGACCGTGTGAATGGATACACCTGTTCCTGCCAACCGGGTTGGGTTGGTACTACTTGTAGTGAAGGTAAGTTGTCTATTTTGTATAGTTAATTCCTGAATAGAATAATTAATTCCTAAATTTCGTTTCTTTATATTATTGTGATCATTTCTTTCATGTTTTGGCTTCAATTCTTCCTTTTTTTGTTTGTCCATTTCGTTTGTTATTACATATGTTTAATTTTGTAATTAAATTAAAACCATCCAATGTTGCTTCCAGTAAATAACAAGTGTTGATCTTGGTGCTATCTTTATTAGATTATGATGATTGTAGTGGAACTGTATGCTTCAATGGAGGAACTTGTCGGAATCTCCAGAATCGATACGAATGTGATTGCGTTGCTGGTTATACTGGGGACAACTGCGAGAGTGGTCAGTATAATTATGTTGTTTTCCACCAACCCAGAACTAATAGTAATATGAGGATGTTGTTCGTCAGGGATAGTTTTTCAGCATTTCCATTTCTAGCTCTAAATCTTTATGAAATACTGGGAATGCTATCTGGTGGGGATAGTTTTTACCATTTAGTTTACATCATTTTTTTAGCCCAGAAAATTAGAATCATAAACACTGGGTGTCTAGCATTTCCATTTCTAGCTCTAAATCTTTATGAAATACTGGGAATGCTACCTAGTGGGGATAGTTTTTACCATTTAGTTTACATCACTTTTTTAGCCCAGAAGATTAGAATCATAAATACTGTACTGGGTGTCTAGTGGAGGAGGTTTTTTCCGGTTATTAATTGTTTATTCTGCATTAAATCTTATTTGTATTTATTTAATGTTTAATGCATAAATATTTAATTAATTATTAATTATTAATTTAATTTTATTAATAATATTTTTCTTTATAGATGTTGATGAGTGTCAATCATTTCCTTGTCAAAACAATGGCCATTGTACCAATCTCATCAATCAATTCTCTTGTCAATGTATCAACGGATGGACAGGGGAAACCTGTACAGTCGGTTAGTCGCAAGAAACACTTTATTGCATATCGCTCATAAAATTGGGTGTTATTTTGTTCTTTTTAATTAATGTGTAGCTACTTTGAAGTTCCAAAAAAGTTTTATAGTTTATTATATTATTATATAAGTTTTAAATATATGGAGCCTGATTATTTCCTGTTTTGTTGGTTTTTATTATAATTTTTATCGTTTTATCTCTGAATGTTTGATGTATTTTGTGCTAAAAATAATGTGAATGTGTATGTAATATGTTTGTAACTGCCAGAAGTGATGAAACATGTGATACTTTTTTATCCTAATATTGTAAAAGGGCCAAAGTGTTGGTACCCACCGTCAGGCCTAGAAAAAAATGTTTGTCCCTCCAATCATGAAAACTGTGTTGATAAAATGCCTCAAATGTTGTCTTGTTACACTATATAGCCCCCAAATTGTTTTTTTTCCCCCAAAATGCCTCCTACTACCGGTCTTGCGGCTGTGCACTTTTTCCAGCCCTGCTAAATTTGTAGGTCACTACAGCATCTATATTTTGTATATTTTTTACATATACTGTATTCAGATTATAGTATATTTAATGTATATTTTGATATTTTTGCTAGATGTGAACGAGTGTCTCAGTGCACCATGTCGGAATGGTGGGAATTGCATCAACCTCCAGAATCGCTTTGAATGTCAGTGTACATCTGGTTGGAAGGGAGACACATGTGACAGTGGTATGTACTAGTTACTATCTATGAATTCATTGTTCCACCTATACTCTCCACTATTTTCTTCTTCCATCCCCCTCCCTTCAGATCCACCATTCATCTCTGCCATCCTCCTTAACTCCATCCTTTTTTATAACCTCTCTCCACCTTTCCATTATCTCCACCCAACTCCATCTTTTGAAACCACCCCTTTTACCTTAAGTAACCCCTCATGATATACATCCCCTCTGGGGATTTAGAGGGTTATCCCTGATACCACATGATTTTACTCATTTTTATATTTATGTCATTTGCAAATTGATTTGTATGTTTTATATATGGTATTGCAATAAATCAAATAAAAACCCTCTCTTTACCCTTCTCTATCAAACTTCATCCTCTTTTTACCCTCCTCTCCATCATCTCCGCTTCTCTTATATCTTCATCCATTTTCAATTACTGATGGGCTGATATTGCTGTAAATTTTATAATTCATATTACAATGAACCTTGGAATACAAAAATTAGGCTGAGGCTCTATGCTGGCACGATGCTGTACTAAAGTGCATTGCACTTCTGTGCTTATTTATTGAATGGTATGGTCGCCATGATGATGCCAAACCTCAAACACAGTAAACAATTGTGTAGCTGTTTTACTGAGCCTAGTGCAATACATAATCCTTTGGACCTAAAAACAATAAAGAAAATCATATACATCAAAGGTAAATGAATCTAAGTTACTAGACCAGACTTGTGCTTAGTATAGGCCTGTCTACAAAAACGTGTGATATGCCTAAATATGGTCATCACATGACCATAAATAGGCATATCATAATTATATATGAGCATTTAATAATGATGACATCACATAAATATAATTTGGACAGAGCTTAAGTCTTTTAAAATTGGTTCATGTTTGACCCTCAGATGTAAATGAATGCGAAAGTTTCCCGTGTAGAAATGGAGGGGTGTGTTCAAATCTCAACAATGCATTCATGTGTGTATGCCCTGCGGGGTTCACTGGTCTCATGTGTGACATGGACGTGAATGAGTGCATAAGTTCTCCGTGCCTGAATGGAGGAACCTGCAATAACTTGAACAACGCTTACAGCTGTAACTGTAACCCTGGATGGGTTGGAGAAAATTGTGGAGTTAGTAAGTAAACAAAATGCCAGATAAATAAATGCATGGGGAAAAGACTAGCTTAGTAGCTAAGTCAGCATTTCACTCTGTTTCATGAGAATATGGAATAATTTACCTATTGATATTAAAGATTCTTTTGTTTGTGATAGCTGGGGTACTTTCAAAGGGAAAATTAAATATTATTTTAGACAATTTCGTTCATGGGATTGTTATTGCTTTTCCTTCAAATTTATTTTTGGTTTTTTTAAAGTTATTTTTGATAAAAAATTAATATTATATATTTGATAAATCTATTTTGTTATCTATTTAATCTTGACTTTTCTTTGTTATATTGGCAAATATCTTTTTTTTTTAAATCTGTGTATAAATATTGAAAATGGAGTCTGAGGGGCTCACCATATCCGGTGATAGTAGTTTTTAGACCGCTTTTGCCACTCCTCAGCCCTCCTCTTTCTTTATTGATTTTGTTGTTGTTGTATTGGCTGAAAGGAATAAAATAAAATAAATCGGCTAAACTGGTTGCACTGAACCGTCGAGATTTCTTGGTCCGGTTCAATGTCCGCTGCTCTCCTTGTATTTCAGCCGGAGGACTTAAATGCATGTTACGGTAACGCATTGTCTTTCAGATGAGAAGTTTAGGCAGATGGTCCTGCGTGCATTATGGCCCATGTGCAAGAATGCAGTACACTCTTAGGAAAAGTGTAGGGATTGTTTCCCGGTGGATTGCCCAATAACCACCAGAAGGACTGTGTAACAATTCTATGGAAACACTGTGAAGCGATTCTATGAAAACAAAGCTTTATGAACCCTATATACAATCGTTTGTTCTAGCACACATTTATATATTTTATTACTTTCTTTTGTAACATTTTTCTCTGTTTTATTCACAGATCTTAATGAATGTAGCAGTAGCCCTTGTTTCAACTCTGGGACTTGCATTGATCAGATTAATAGTTACGATTGCATATGCCCTGCCGGATGGATTGGAACGAACTGTGAAACAGGTTTGTAACAAGAAAATATTAAAATTTGTTTCTTGTTTTTATATTTTAATTTTATCAGACTGTATGAGTGTTCCAGTAACCCATATCAAGTGTTTTTTTTCTTCATCAGACTTTAATGAGTGTTCTAGTAACCCCTGTCAGAATGGAGGGCGCTGTAACAACCAGCAGAATATGTTCACATGTACATGTGCTGATGGATTTTCAGGCATTATTTGTCAAACAAGTAAGTAGCACGTTTGTCTGCTGATAAATATTCAAATCATTGTAAAGTAGGTTGGAAGGATTTGAATTAGCTTAAATAAAGCTGTAAGCTAACAAGTTGCCACCTGGCATGTAGCCACCTGGCCTGTTCCCACCTGGCCAGCTGTTGTGAAAAGGCCTCTCGCAAACTGACTGTTGTCACATAACATGTGGCCACTCACCATCCCAATTTGTGGCCACATGGACTGGTGCTAGGCTACTTCTCTGGAGCATTGGTAACTAATATTGCTGTAAGGCCTGCTCCTGCCTAACATTTCGAGTTTCATTCTTAGCACCTGTATTATTTCTTTTGCCAACAGATGATGATGAATGTGCATCAAATCCATGTTTAAACATGGGGACATGTCGCGACAGCACCAACGCATTCCAGTGTGATTGCCCTAGTGGTTGGACTGGAAGCCAGTGCGAAATAGGTCAGTAAGTCTTTAGTTCAAAATATATCAGTAAATTAAAATAATAAACAGATTATTTAAAGAGATTAGGTAAACGCTCAGCTTTGGATCACTTGTTATATGGAAAATGGTAAATCAAAATTAAAAATAAAAAGAGTGTGTTCCATTCCGAGTAATTCATTAGTATCTCGCCAGTGCAGTCATCTCAGGAGCATTGACCCTGTGCAGACTATCAATTTGTTTTTGACAAAAACATGTGACAGGCCTTAATATGGTCATGATGACATCACATCATGACCATATATAGGCACATCATGACTATATATGGGCATACAACAGTTTTTTGGTCAAAAAAATTTGATAATTTGGTCAGAACTTTAGTTTCACCGAGATGTAATTTTATTGATGCAAGAAAAACCAAAAGCTAAGCAAGGCCGGATGAGTTCTAATTAATTAGTTTAAGAAATAGGAGTAGTTCAGCCTCATGTTATTATTATTATCATCATCATCATCATCATCATCATCATCATCATCATCATCATTATTATTATGTTACTAAAACCTACCTAGACAATGGAGAAATTAGAGAACAATTAAAAAAATATTGTTAAGCGGAATTTTCCCCTTTATTCCCCTTAAGTCTGACTTAGCACATATTATTATTATTAATATAATGATTCTCTGCGTGCAATAGATAACTGAAGATGGTAGTGGACTGCCGAAACATGTCTTATGGGGCCGTTAAGGCCATAACTTATTGGATTAAATATATATATATATATATAAATATAACCTTATTATTATTTATTATCTGTTGTATATTTCAGATGTAAATGAGTGCTCAAGCTTTCCATGCCGAAATGATGGTACCTGTCTAGATGGAGTTAATGGATACATTTGTTCCTGCACCCCTGGATGGACTGGCACATTCTGTGATGTTGATATTAACGAGTGCCAGAGCTCTCCATGTCAGAATGGTGCCAACTGCGTCAACGGACGCAACAACTACCGTTGTACTTGTGTTGCTGGTTATGTTGGGATAAACTGTGAAACAGGTTTGTGTTATTGATCGCTCACAACTCAAATTGGAAATTGTTAAAATGTGGACACCTTCAGGACCAATAGAAGTGTCCCTTTTAATAGGGGTGTACCCTGAATAGGGTTTGGCCCTAGTGTTAAAAAATATACCTTTCCTCGTTTAGTGCCCGAAAAAAAAGTGTGTCACACAGGAGGGGTTCTACTGTCATTTTCTTCATTTTGTGGCCAAAAGTGTGTCCCATTAATAGGATGCTCATTTATAAAATGGATGTCCCTTTAATGTTGGTGTTCCATTAATAAAGATGTCCCCTTAATTGGGGTGTCCCAAAGATGGGGTTCTACTGTATTTTAGGATTTTATTGGCAAACTAATATTTATTACAAAGCAAGAATAAGCCTGGATGTTTAATTTTGTTTAGATCGTGATGAATGTGCGAGCAATCCGTGCTATAATGGTGGAACCTGTGTTGACGCTGTTAATAGCTACAACTGCATGTGTACAGGTGGTTGGACTGGAGCCAATTGCGGTCAAGGTATGTAGAATATGCAAATTCCAAAACTGAATTATACACCTTGCCAAGGTTGATTTTAATGTAATTGCCAAGCTTGATTTTAATGTAATAGAATAGATTGTGGTATATTATCTCAAAACATACAAATTTAATGATCATATGATGTTACCATTGTCTTCAAATCATTTCTAGCTCCGCTGAGGAACTCTAGAAACACTGGGCTGATTGCTTAAAATATATTTTTTGTATGGGCAGCTGTTAAGCCAATATACCTTACTGCTTCTATTACTGTATTCTATTACTGTCCTCATCGGAGCTTACAAGATTATAATAACTTGTTATAAAATAAAATACTGATAAATAATGAAGCAGCATACTCAAGCATTCTTCAGTGTCTTGGGATAGGATGATTTTCAGTCTTTTAAATTAAGATATACTGAAATAAATCTAGAAAATAATTATTATTTCATAAAGATATAAATACTGGAATGAAAGTTTCTAAAATGTGAAGTAATTTCAAAAATTTACATGATTGTAATTTTTAAAATCTTTGTTAATCATTTTAATTTAAATGATTTCATTATTATTTTCTTATGTTGACATCGTTATTTACAGATGTAAATGAATGTACCAGTCTGCCATGTCAGAATAGCGGAACTTGCCTCAACCAACAGAACGGTTACTCATGTTCATGTCGTGATGGCTATGCCGGTGAAAATTGCCAAACAAGTAAGTACCAGCATGATTTGGTCTATAAAGACTACCATTATTATTATTATTATTATTATTATTATTATTAAAGAAATAAGACCTAACCTACATTATAAACTTGTTTGTTTAGGAGTGATGTTTTGCCCTACCTGACGTGAATATCACTCCTAACACACAACAAATTTAGCATTGTAGTACCTTCTGCTAAGTGTGGATCACATTTAGCACTAGTCACTATTGCAATCTCGGTGGTCTAGTGATTATACCACCAGGCTATTTATCTGGAAGTCGTGGGTTCAGTTCTCACCCGAATCACTTGCAAATTTTTTTACAAGTATTTGGAAACGTATTAAGTATTCAGTATAATAAACATCAGGAAGTGCAAAACATCACTCCTATAATATTTTGTGATGCAAACACACAATGAAATAACCTTGATTAGATTAACAATATCTTCTATTTGCATTTCTTATAGACATCATTGAGTGTGCATCAGACCCTTGTCTTAATGGTGGAACCTGCTTTGATGGTATTAACATGTACCAGTGTTTCTGTGTAGAAGGTTGGACAGGTAGCAACTGCGAAATTGGTAGGTCATACATTTCCATAGTTAAAGCAAATCTTCAAGTCAAATTCATTGTAGATTGATTTGTTTAGGTAACTGATTGATTGATTGATGGAATGATATATTGGTTGAATAATTGTATGAATGATTGATTGATTGATTGATTAAGTGATTACTTGCTTAAAACAATTATTTGTTTAATTTATTATTATTATTATTATTGTTACTACTACTATTATTATTATTATTATCATTATTATTATTATTGTTATTATTATCAGTTACACTTTATTGTTACAATGTTAAATGTTAACACACTGAATGTTTTTTGTTCTTAAAATTTACACAACTAAATAATTATTTTATGATACTATTTAAACAGCCAACAATGAATGTGCAAGCTCGCCATGTATGAGTGGATCTACCTGCATTGACCAAACCAATGGATACATTTGCAACTGCGCACCTGGGTGGACTGGTCTTCTTTGTGATACTGGTAGATATTCAGTTTTTTATCTACTTATCTTTATCTGCATTCTTGGTTAGAGAGATATTATATCATCATAATTGCCCTGAATTACTTGACCATTAGGCTACTATTGTGACTGATTAAGCGACTACACTTTAAGTGACTTTAATGTGACTACACTTGAGTTAGTGAGTAAGTGATTAATATACTAAAATAATTGACTGATTAAGTGACACTTAGGTGATAAATTGAATGACTACACTTAAGTGACTGATGAAGTAACTATATACCTAAATTTAAATGACTGATTTTTAAGTAAGTGCTCAAGTATCTAATTACAATGTTTGTTTTTTCCTAGACATCAATGAATGTTCAAGTAGTCCATGTTTGAATGGTGCCACATGTACAGAAGGCATTAACATTTTCTTCTGTACATGTGCTTCTGGGTGGACAGGCACACTCTGTAACACAGGTGAGATAATAATTTGCATATTATAAAATCTAAATTATAAATTTGCATAAGTCCATTGAGTGGGATTGGAAGGCAACCACCAACCAACAATAACAGTGACTTTGAATCAGATTAAAATCCAGAAACTACAAACTGTTTCATGTCTCAGCGACTACAATGAACACTGCCTCAATTGTTTACATGATAGACTAAAAATGTTTTTAGTATTAGCTGGCCCTCAATAATTTATCTAATTTTGTTTACTTACCTTAGATGCTATTGAGTGTGCAAGTCAGCCATGTAAGAATGATGCTACCTGCTTTGAAGGTGTAAATAGTTACATATGTGTCTGTAAACCTGGCTACTCCGGAACCAACTGTGAAATAGGTATGATATGCCCATATATGGATGTGATAAAAATTGTTGAAAACAATATTACTAACAATCTCAGCTCGATCCACACAGTCAAGTGTTTTAAGTGAAAACAAACCCTATGATATGCCCATATATGGAGGTGATATGACATCATCATTCCTAAATATTGGCTTGATATGACATCATCATTCCCAATTAATATGTGTTTGATATGACATCATCATGCCTATATATAGGTATGATATATCATTCTGTCCAAAAAGTCAAGAAGACAAAAAGACAAAATCCGATCGATTGCCCATATATCGGTGTGATATGGCATCATCATTCCCAAATATGGGTCTGATATGACATCATCATGCGGATATGATATTTCATGCCCATATATGGGTAAGATATGACATCATAATAACTTATGTAGCACATCATGCTATAGGCCCTCTATGCACTTCACTTTATTTTCACCTCGGTAATTTGATTAAAAACGTATGGAATACACACTCGGCCCCCTGGGGGAATATTCCAGATATTTATATTAAAAAGATACAAAAAATACCCTTTTTGACTTGTGATAATGATTATGTTTTTGATTTGTTTTTTAGATGATAATGAATGTTCAAGCACACCTTGTTTGAATGGTGCCACTTGTCTCAACCTCATCAACTCATACCAGTGTCAGTGTGCACCTGGGTGGACTGGTCCAGCCTGTGAAATAGGTGAGTCAACTTGTTAACATCTTGTTTTATAATCAATCACAAATAAATGAAATTTGTGTTGTATGAATTTTTCTGATTTTTAATGAAGTTGTGTTCTGAACCTCTTTCTTGTGCCATTTTCTTTCGGCCTGTCACATAACTTCTTTTCCAGATTTTCCGAGAAGGTTCATTCATCTACTCTGCTCTGTCCTGGCTACATGTCTTGCCATTCTATATCTTGACAGCCCTTTAAAGTCCATAGCTGCCAATGAGAAATTTTTGCTGCCTTAAAAGTCCACACTCATCTCTTTTCCACTATCATGGTGATGAGGGTAATAATGTTTTACTTTTAGAACCTCTAGATTTGGCACATTTCAAGATTTTGAAAGATTGTGTGAAGGTAAACATTTTATGTTTTTATTTTTGCAGAAATTAATGAATGTTCAAGTAATCCATGCCAAAATGGCGCTGCATGCGTTAACTTACTGAACTTGTACCAGTGCACCTGTCTACCAGGATGGATGGGAACTCAGTGTCAAACAGGTAATGTGCTTAACTTAAGTGAATATACTTAATCTGTAATATATGTATATATAGTTTATTTTATAGTGAAACTGGGTGAGTCGGAAACTCTCTTATGTGTTTCCTTCCAGCTGTACTGTTTGTGTTTTATGTTTTGGAAATAAAAAGAATAAGAATAAGAATGGCTCTCTTTTTTGATAGATTTTGACGAGTGTTCCAGCAACCCATGTGTCAATGGAGGCACTTGCAATAATGCGCAAAACTTTTACACTTGTGACTGTGCACCAGGCTGGATAGGCTTCAATTGTGAAACAGGTAAAATAATGATTTAAATAATTATCATAATAATTGAAATAATTATAATAATGATTTAATTAATTATATTTTATTATTGATGTAGACCTAGGTGCCAATAACAGTGGACCATTCTCGTAAGCCTGTCCTTGGGTATTGTTGCTAAAGTCCCAAAGGGCGAAACATGGCTATTGAGTAAAAATATACGCAAAACGTGTGTGTTGGTGATATCCACATGTATTGCTGGCCCTGTTTTGATTGGTCGGTTTGATTGACACTCTGTGAAGGTCAATAGCAACATCTTCCCAACTGTACAATTATTTTTTTTATCTCCTCACCACCCCTATCTACTCTTAAAGTGTACATAAATGAATGTTAATCTTACAGTACTCTATTTTTGTTTCTTTCATAATGAGTATGTCAGAATAATTGAAGTGTGGAAAAGATATAATAGTAACTGAACTCAACAATTTCTAGCTATATTCTGTTTTAAGTACAAGTTAGGAGATCTGCTTACCAAAGCAAACTGTACACTTGTGAAAATATTGGTACTGCGAATTGTAAATGATCCCCTACTTTTAAAGTACTTTTATAACTTAATATAAATTAATAAATACTGGTATAAATATTTTCATGCTGATTAATTTTTTTTCAATTTGATTGATAGATGCTGACGAGTGTTCTAGCTCACCTTGTCAAAATGGAGCAGCATGTTCCAATCAGCAGAATCGCTATGATTGTTTGTGTGAAGCTGGATACACCGGCGTTAACTGTGAAATAGGTATGTGCAGGGGCCGATACAAGGGGGGGGGGGTGTATATAAGTGGGCAGAAACAGGGGCCCAGGTGGTTTGAGCTCCTAAATTTGTCACAGTTATTTTTTAAAATTGAGGAAAAATTGAAATTATATTCAAATTTAAGTCTGACAGTGCCATTTCTGGCCATCTAGAGGTGCCATAATCAATAATTTTCTTACTTCTCAGCCCCAACTTGGTTGGAGGCTGAACCCTCTGTTTGTGGAGTCACTGTTTGTACAACCTCTTTACCTCCTTTTAAGAGACAGATCCTAGTACATGTTTCTGTTTTTGACTAAGGAATCTATTTTTAATGAATAGTCTATTAATAAAGGTTAATAATTGTTTTGTATTTCAGACATAAATGAGTGCTCAGCACAACCTTGCTTAAATGGTGGAACATGTACAAATAACATCAACTTCTATACTTGTAACTGTTTACCTGGTTGGACAGGTACAAACTGTGAAATTGGTAAGTGCTACCTAGTCACATGTTAAACGACATCATCATGTCCTTGCACAGGTGTGATATGACATCATCAAATTTGTGTGATATGACATCATCAAATTGGTGTGATATGACATCATCAAATTTGTGTGATATGACATCATTAAATTGGTGTGATATGACATCATTACATGGGTGTGATATATGACATCATCAAATGGGTGTGATAAGACATCTTCAAATTGGTAGGATATGACATCATCATGCCAATGTGAGCAAATCACATTATTCTCAAAAAGTTGAAAGTGTAGAGATTTAGAATGTTCTACAGCTGGAATAGAGTAATGTCTCAACCTAACTAATAATACCATACCTCCTATCATTGTAAGGTGCATTAGTAGTATTTATTAAAAATAAAAAATAAATTATTAAAGTTAGGAATAAGTCAGTTTATTCCAATTCCAATTGCAGTCAAAGTAAATTTTAAAACTTGAGTATTGAAATAATAGCAAACATATTTAAAAAGTTATTTATTGTTGTTTTTGAAAGTGTGAATTTTTTTTTTTGCAAAATATTTATAATTTGTTTTCTTGCAGCCATTAATGAGTGCGGCAGTTCACCATGTCAGAATGGTGGCGCTTGCACTGACCTAGTCAACCAGTATGTTTGCACCTGTGTATCAGGCTGGCAAGGAGAGAGGTGCAGTGAAGGTTAGAAACACATTTATTATTAATTTACTTAATGCAATAATATATCATGATAATGTATTATTGCATCTTAATACACCGTTTTGTTGTTTATGAACACTTTTAGAGTGCTGATCCATTAACTATACATAGATGAATGTAATGATTACACTTGTTTTCCCACAGATGTGAATGAGTGCCTGAGTAACCCTTGCCAGAATGGAGCCACCTGTAGTAACCTACAAAATCATTACACCTGTACATGTGCTTTTGGATACACTGGGCCCACATGTAGTTCCGATATCAATGAGTGTGCAAGCAATCCGTGCCTGAATGCCGGTACTTGCTCCGATGGGATCAACAGATACACATGCAATTGTATACCTGGATATTCAGGAACCAACTGCCAACAGAGTATGTAACATTTTAAACACTGGAAATTAATGTTTTTATTCAAACACAACCATTTTTTTAGCCCTGTAACATAGTAATAATAAAAAAAACTTTTACTGATATGCAGCCATTGCTTTTACAACATGGAACTGTATATATATAGTCACTTCTATATCTAAGCATCTCTACCTAGCTGCAACATTATTTTTTTTTTTATTTCTATGTTTCAGACAATAATGAATGTGCAAGTAATCCATGTTTGAATAGTGCCACCTGTATTGATCTTATCAACAGTTACACCTGTACATGTGCTCCGGGCTGGAATGGGAACAACTGCGAGATAAGTAAGAATAACAAAAAAACAGTTATGGACTCTAAAAATGCTATTATCTATCTAAATGAACATAACATTGGAATTGATTCACTGTCAAAAATAAACATTTTACATGCAATAAAAAAGTAACGATATTAGTGGGCAAATTATCATTTTTGATTCAAGGGCCTCATTGTGGCGTTGGACAACTGGACCTCCAGGCCTGTCGGATGGAGGGCCTCCACTGATAATGGCCATGATGGTTTTAGTGTAATGATTTGCATGCTTGGAATCAGCTGCTCATTTGCTGATGCTACCCATTTTACACATATATTTCCACTCTTTTTTTCAGATATTAATGAATGTAGCAGTTCTCCATGTCAGAATGGAGGAACCTGTATCAATGGAAACAACATGTACACTTGTAGTTGTTTGCTGGGCTTCACTGGGTACAACTGTGCTCAAGGTATGTAATTTTTGAGGGTCACTCACTCATATGGCAGTCAGCCGTTTATGTCATCATACCTATAAATTGAATTGAATTAAATTAAATTTATTTGATTTCTCTCTATATACAATACATAAAATACATAGAAAAAACAAGTCCTTTTAAAACCAAATAAAAATCCTATAAATATACATGATACAAAAAGAGAAAAATCTGGATAACCCATTAAACTATAAAGTTTGTTTCCGATTGAAACTATATAAAGTAATTAGTTACACAACCTGGAGTTTATTTTTCTTATATTTTGTGCTATTATTTTTGTAGATGTGAATGAATGTGCAAGTAATCCCTGCTCTAGTTCAGCCACCTGTGTGGATGGAATTAATGATTTCACCTGTGAATGTGCCCCTGGATGGACTGGTTTTGACTGTAACACAGGTGCGTTTAAATATAACTTGCATCAATTATTTTCTACTAAATAAATGATTCATACTAAAAGGTCAGCAAATCATCAAAAACATTGTTTTTTTTTTCATTTTGTTTTAGTAATTTTAATATTTTGTTTTATTTTTCATGCAGACATAAATGAGTGTGCCGCTAACCCCTGTCTGAATAGTGGCACCTGTCACAACGGTCAGAATGTGTACACTTGTACCTGTGTGCCGGGCTGGACTGGCCTCAACTGTGAAATAGGTACGTTTTATACAATCAAATGTAAAGGTAAAGGTAGTCCAGTATTCATTAGTGAACCTAAGATAAGCTGTTTGGCGCCCATCGTACTAAGCCTTGGCATTGTCCGGTAGGGTGGCCAGCTGCTAGTTATTGCTGTATTTAAATGTTTTATGCACACAATACACAGACAAATATACTTAGCAACTACCATAAACATACCGGTAATGAAAATATTGTTTAAAAAAGTCTGTTGTAGCTTGGCTATTGAAGAATCAGTAAAAATATTTTGATAGTTTCAGACCTGATTATCTGTTTAATTTCTAATATATTAATTTGCATCTTTATCTAGTTTTCAAGAAATATGTCATACACATGTATATTATAGTTATTGTAGTTTTATTTAAATATTGTATTAAAAACTAAAATCGTGGAAATATGGAATCTTTGTTTCAGATGTGGATGAATGTGCAAGCGATCCATGCCAGAATGGCGCCACCTGCATTGATGGTCGTCAACAATTTATATGCATCTGCGCATTAGGTTACCAAGGTGATGTGTGTGAGAGCAATGTGGATGAGTGCCAAAGTAGTCCATGTCAGAATGGCGCTACTTGCAATAACGAGTTGAACCGGTACTCTTGTACTTGCCAACATGGATGGGAGGGCTACAACTGTGAGTTAGACGTCAATGAGTGCGCCAGCAATCCGTGTGATAATGGAGGCGCTTGTAACAACCTGGCAAGCCAGTATACCTGTGACTGTCTACCTGGCTGGGAAGGCTACAATTGTGATGGAGGTACGTATATTTTTAATTAAAAAAATAATTTCACATCCAACAAGTACACTTGTGAACCAATTAGATATATTTACTTTTATAATTTAATTAAGACATAAACTTTAAACTGTTTTGCAGTAAATGCTGAACAATAATGCTAGTACTAATGCAAGACTGTATAATAGTCTATTTAATAAATATCTTTTCAATGATCCCATCCTGTTTGAAATGCGTAAGATGAAGGCACATCATTGATCGCTGTCCATTGAGAACTAGAGTTGTTCCACACATGTGCAAAAGAGTGTGAAAATTAAGTTGATAAATAACCAACTTAAAATAAATAAAATTAATATTGGTTATTTTTTTCTTCAGATGTAAATGAATGCATAAGTCAGCCATGTTTGAATGGAGGTCAGTGTACAGATGGTAGAAACAGCTTCCAGTGCGTTTGTGCTGCTGGATTTCAAGGGGTCATCTGTGGCCAAGGTAAGAACTGCTTTTGATAATAATATCTTGATATTAATAATTTTGATAATAAAACTTTTGATATTGTGAATATAGGTCTCCCTCCAATAAAGACCATATTTGAGACCGGGGTTTGCATGGTCTTTAGCAGCTTTTCTTCTAATTAGAATAATATTTATAAAATATTTGTTAATTTGGGATCATAGAAAAGTGGTGTTTAATTGGAGGTGGTCTTTATATTGGAATTGTCCTTTAATTAAAGGGAGACATGTGCTTACTTACAAATCACACCACACTGGAAATTTTAGGAGCAGGTAGGCACCGTGTGCATTAGATCATTGAGTTCATCACAAAAATATGTAATTTTTCAGAAATTAATGAGTGTTCAAGTTTCCCTTGTCAAAATGGCGGAGAATGCAACGACCAGGTGAACCGGTATCAATGTACCTGCCCTCAGGGCTACTCTGGTAACAACTGTGAATTTGGTAAGTAAATCCTTATGTTGATGGTGGCTCAGTATACTAGTGCATACTAGTACTAGTAGTGCGTACTACTACTAACTCCATTTGATGCTTAAGTCCTGGACATTTTTTTTTGGTTAAACTTAATCATGAAGTAGGCATTAGCTTATGTTAATTAGATGATTTGCATATTTATTTGCAGAGGTGGATGAATGTGACAGTCAACCGTGTTTGAATGGAGGAATTTGTTACAATGAAGTTGCTAGTTACCGCTGTACATGTCCTGAAGGCTATGCAGGAATCAACTGTGAAATAAGTATGTTCATATAAATATAGTCATGATGTACCTATATATGGTCATGATGTAATGTCATCATTCCATATTTAGCATGTCACATGTCTTTGCAAAAAACGTGATAGTCTGGACCTGGCTTTGTGATAAAAAAAAAACTTTTTCTTATTTGCATTTACAGGGCAAAGTCCGTGCACAAATGGAGCTGATTTATGTAAAAATGGTGGCACATGTTTGAACCAGGATATTGGGTTTGAATGTGTTTGTGTGCAGGGGTGGATTGGCTTCACATGTGAAACCAACGTCGATGAGTGTGAGAGCTCACCATGTCTTAACAGTGGTATTTGTATTGATGGTGTGAATAGCTACTCCTGTGTCTGTCAGCAGGGATATACTGGAAGTAACTGTCAAATTGGTATGTGTCAATTGTTTAATGGATTCAACTATATCTTATTGTTTTATTTTATTTTATTTTGTTTATTCAGGTATAAAACACATTACAAAAAGCAGAACAAGTCTGAAATTATTCTTATCTTATCTTTTATAAATGATGATATACCAAAGTTACTTTCATGTGTTTTTAAAGAGTGTTTGTTTTATTTATCTATTGACCTTTGATATTTATTTAAATTTCAATATGTAGATGAAGACGAATGTGCCAGCAATCCTTGTATAAATGGTGCTACCTGTTTCAACCGATTTGGTTCCCATGGTTACACATGTGACTGCCTACCTGGTTGGCAAGGCTTCCAGTGTGAGACAAGTGAGCATTGATTTATTTATCTTTAACCACATGGGATGGTCAAGTGGTTGGGCACCTTAAATTACAGATTTAGCATTGGAGCTGGTTTGAGACCTTTCTCAACCAGGGTTCGTTAGTAGAACCAAGTGTTCTAGGATAAGGACTTAAAACTGCAGTTTTTACATTTATGAAGGTACAACCTGTAAAAGACCTTTAGGATGTATAACCGTAGGGGTAACAGGGGTTACGGTTTATAGTCCCCATCCGAGAAGACTTGTTCGACCACCTCAACCGAAGGAGAGCATGCCGCTCGAACGAGTGCCGATATTATGGCTATTTGTGGATTGTTATGATTATGATGCTACTAAGCGCATCTAGACAGCTGCTGGGGTAGTCACAAAGCTCACACAAACGCAATTTAGCAAAATAATCCTGATTGGTGTAGTGGTTATGGCACCAGGCTAGTTATCTGTAGGTTCTGGTTTCGATTCCCACCCGAATCACTTGCAAATATTCTTCGAAATTACAGTATATGGGAACGTAATGAGTATTCAGTGCGATAATACATCAGTTAGGGTAAACATCTATGATATTTTCTTGACACAAATTCACATAAAAAAAATAACTAGAATAATTTTTTTTATTGCAGACATCAATGAGTGCGAGAGTATGCCGTGTATGAATGGTGGTATTTGCGTTGATGCTGTCAACGCATTCAGCTGTATCTGCCCCTCGGGGTGGGGAGGAGACCTGTGTAATTTAGGTATGTGGCAGGCCTGTCTATGACAGGAAAAGTCTTGGGTGTTTAGGGGCAGTTTAGGGATTTTAAAAAGTTGACATTATATAATAGCATCATAAATACTGATACTTGACTGATACTTAAATTCCATGATAAAAACAGTGGTGCAATATGGAACAATTAAAATGAATCAGAAAATAGAAGACATCTTAAAATATGTAGAAAGATAAGACAAATGTTATTTAAAAACAAAAACCATGAATAATTGATAATTTAAAAAAATGTAATTCTAAAAATTCTACAAATTTATTTATAATTAAAAGGAGAATAGAGTTATATGTAATGAAGATATAATACAAATGAAGTCTAGCAAGGATTTATCTAGTTTCTCATCTACCATTCTAGTGATTGGATGCCGTTTGAATTTCACCATACCTGTCAATGGAAAGGTTGAAGTTCACTCTCCAAATTATCCGTCAAATTACAATAATGGAGCAAACTGTCGTTGGTTCGTCAACTCTTCCCCCGGACGCACCATTCAAGTTGTATTTATGGACTTCATCACAGAGAATCATTACGATGTTCTCAAGATTGGTGAAGGAATGAACACCATGGATGTAGGTTCAATCCGTTTAACTGCTGATGGTTCGACTAAACCAGAAAATCTATTACTACTGTCCAATCAAATGTGGATGACATTTATTACAGATGGTGAGAAAACAGAGAGAGGCTTCTCAATCGAACTCAGAAATGAAGGCTATACTGGTAAGATAGTTCAATCATATACAATAGTGTAATTATTTATAATGGGAGGGAAGTGTGGGTTACTCAAAAATGACTGTTGGTTAAAGTTACAGACAATAACAATAATTACTATGATGACAATAAGATGCAAGATAATTTTTATTGTCTATTATTTTTATTACTATAATTATAGTTATTGCTATATTATATTATGTTATATAGAACTTTTAATTACTTTACTTTATATAGAAGAATTTATCAACAAATGTTTTCATTGTGTGAAATAAAATAATCTTGAACAAAGGAATTGGCAGTGATGATTATGACATAATAATAAGAAACTGTTATGACAAAAATTGTTGTTAATATTTTATGTAGAAGTGGACGCATGTGTGAGCAACCCGTGTATCAATGGCGGCACTTGTCAAGATCAAGGATCTCAAAGTTACACCTGTGACTGCACCGCCCTCTGGCAGGGAACCAATTGTGAAACACCAACAGGTAATCACAATAACAGAATTGTATATATTTCTATTATACATTTGTAGCAAGCACATAGATTTTGTGCTATACAAGTATACTATTACCAATAATATGAATTTCCCTACTATTGTAGATGCGAATAAATGTGCAAGCAACCCGTGTGTAAATGGCGCTGAGTGTTTGAATGCCGGGGGTGGTTACCAGTGCACTTGTCTCGCCGGATGGACAGGAACTAACTGCGAATCTGGTAAGGAAAACGATTAATTAACATGAGTATTAACAATCAATCAATCAATGGATTTATAAGGCGCATAATACAGCTGTCTCTATGACAACAAACATCCTGTGCTCAATATTATCATTATAACTTTTCTGTAATCCTAAACAGATTTTCTTTAAGTTGTCCAATTGTTAAATAGCATGCCTCTGGATGTTTATCTTTTAACTGGCATTGAAGCTAAACCTGGGTTCCCAATGACACTTCAAACTATTAGAAATGAATATATAAAATGTTTCCTTTTCACCATCTCAACTGAGATGAAGAACATATTATTTGGTGAATGAATAGGGCAAAAAATCACTCCTATGGAATTTCCTAATGCAAAACAACATCAAACTAGCATTGCAGTACCCGGTGCTGCTTGAAGATCTGATTCAACACTAGTAACTAAGTGGTGGTCTAGTGGTTATTGCATCAGGTTGTGGGTTCAATCCCACTTGAATCAATTGCAAGATTCCTTTCGCAAGCATATTAGGACATACTGAGTATTCAGTACGATACATGTCAGGTAGGGCAAAACATCACCCCAATAGTTAATATATTAAATTCTAAATTATTAAAATGTTTATGTTTCCTTAGATTTGAATGAGTGCTTAAGTTCACCTTGTTTAAATGGTGGTGAATGCATTAACCTATTCCAGCATTACATGTGCAAGTGTCCAGACCAGTACAGTGGTACAAATTGTGAAACAGGTAATTTTCATAATTAGTTAAATATTAATTGTTAATAATTGGCATGTTTTTATTTTATTGTTAATCAAATTATTATTTTTTAGAATTTATTATATTATAATAAATATTTATTTCATGAATTTAGTAGATGGATTATTAATAGGAATTTTATACATGTTATCATATATTGTGTACTGTGCTTATTAATATTTTAGGTCCGGAAGTGGAGAGCTGTACGATCAATGTTTGCCAGAATAGGGGTACATGCACTTACTACCTAGATGAGTATTCTTGCAGTTGCCCTCCAGGCTATTCAGGACCCTACTGTGAAATTGGTGAGTAAAACTACACCAGAAATAAATATAAATATTAAATTAAAAAATAATTTAAAAGCCACCTTGTGGTATAGCTGCGTATGCTGATGCCCTGGTCAGCCAAGATATAACTTTCAAAAATTGAAGGAGATAGGTACGCATCCTGGAAATTTTTGGTTGCTCGTAAGAGTGCAGGATACAGTGGCGGCAGCAACAAAAGATCTGCCCCTTTGGTTTGGACCCTCCTGTTAGATCCCGTTGGCCAATTTATGGGGTCGCAAATTTCCTGGAGTCTTCCATGATTTTAATTGGTTTTCCAACCTCAGTAATCTGTTACATTTTACCTTACTTTATTTCGTAAATTATTCAAATGTTTAAATATTTAAATGGTTAAAATGGCAAAAAATATATAAGCTCTTATAGATTTATATTTGGAAGTTCTATTGACTTCTGATTTGATTATTTTTTTTTTCAGTTGATGTATGTATTTCTGGGCCGTGTAAAAATGACGGAACTTGTTTAGCGAATGGGGATGGATATATATGTGAATGTCCGGATACACATATGGGTACATTCTGTGAGGTTATAGGTAAGTTCTAAAATATTTTTATTAAAACCATTTGTCTTATTTCTTGATTGGTTGGAATTTTCTTTGAATCCAAACCTCTGTCCACACTATCAAAGTTTGTGACAAATTTGTGTGAAATGCCCATATATAGGCATGATTTTCCCATATATAGGCATGATATGCCCATATATAGGCATGATATGCCCATATATGGGCATGATGTGCCCATATATGGTCATATTACACCCAAATATGGGCATATCACAGTTTTTTTGTCGCATAGAATTTAACAGTGTGAACAGAGCTTAATAAGGTATTTTGTCACAAGAGTGACAAATTATATATCCGTTTATATAACTCTTAATTTAAGTGACAACTACCTGTGTGGACAACCCTTGCCAGAATGGTGCTGAATGCAGTTTCAAAAATAACACTTACAACTGTGCATGCCCAGTGGGATTTGAGGGGCAGTTCTGTGACACAAACATTGACGATTGCTCGGAGACGTCCTGCTCTGCTCATGGTATCTGCATCGATCTTGTCAATGGTTTGGAATGTGAATGCGAAAGTGGTTGGATAGGAGAAACATGCGCTATTGGTATGTGGCTTCTGTAAATTGAAATTGAAGAAATATAATAATTTTAATAGAGAAATTTCTTAAATAATTTAGCCAGCTAAGAAATATATTATCAGGACCACACCATTTCCATCAATAAATATATAATCATTTAAATTACAATTCCTCATTATAATACAATATTTTATTATCTTATATTACGTTAAATTCTATCACATAATGCATTATGTTATGTCTGTCTCTTATACACATCTAGATGTGTATAAGAGACAGATTGTGTACTGTGCTTATTAATATTTTAGGTCCGGAAGTGGAGAGCTGTACGA